ACGGATCAAGCTGGCCCCCGCAAAAGTGTCTCCCTCCAACGATCGGGATGGGGTGAAGGGTCCCCCGCAAAAGTGTCTCCCTCCAAAGATCGGGATGGGGCGAAGAGCGGCATCGTGGACCAGGACCTAGGTAAGCAGTGTGCCGCATCCCTCTGTAGACCACTCACTCACCATGTCGTCGTGTCGCCCCCAGGATCAAGCTGGCCCCCGCAAAAGTGTCTCCCTCCAACGATCGGGATGGGGTGAAGGGTCCCCCGCAAAAGTGTCTCCCTCCAAAGATCGGGACGGGGCGAAGACAACATGGCCGACCAATACCTAGGTAAGCAGTACGTTGCATTCATGTGTCGTCCACTTACTCATTGTTGTGTCGTATCGCTTGTAGGATCAAGGCGCTCCCGCAAAAGTGTCTCCCTCCAATAATCGGGATGGAGTGAAGGGTCCCCGGCAAATGTCTCCCTCCAAAGATCGGGATGGGGCGAAGACTCAACAGAGCCCTGCAAATAATCTCCTCCAAGCGGATGGGACGAAGGCCCCGAGGCATGGCGCAGGCCTTTCCGTGGCCCTCGGGATAAGTACCCGCCTCAACGCTCGCGACGGGGAAACCAACGTGCGCCAACACCTGGTGAGTCCGTGTGAACCCGTTCGCATTCTGACATCGGTGCACTGCAGGCAAGCGACAACGGCCTCGCTCAATCTCCGTCCAGGCCTTCCATTGGCGAGGGGAACGCCGCTTATAATGGAGTACGCGAGTTCCCAATCAAGGTCCTGTTAGTTCAACAGCGAGTCCTGACGGAAGTAATTTGTGCAGCTCTCAGTCAACGGCGGCTCCTCGCGCCGACACATCAGGTTGTGTCATTGCTGATTGATATGTTTATGCTTGTCGTTTCATGAACGCCGCCACAGCGGCGGCTGAAGCACGATGCTGGAACAAGCGGTCAAACAAGGTGTACTTGGTCTCTCGGTGGGGCGTCTAGCCTGTTGATCCAGTTCCGGTCATAGTGAGGATATGCCTTCGCTGCAACATGGGATGTTCCCTTGCAGGAGGGGCATCAGAAACAACCGCCGCCACAGCGCAGTGGCGTATAATTCATATAATCGGAACGACTGAGGTAAGTGCATCGTCGTGCATATTGTTGGATATCCTCCTGTCGCGACCCAACATGACGCACGGGTCTCTCGACAGTCTGCGAGCGGCCCGGAAGATCGCTCACGGACTACAGAAGCGATTGTGTCTTACCTTCGTTGATCGTTGCAACAGAAGGCTTCACGTGGGACGAAGCGTGAAGAGATAGTTTTGCTACGCAAGCGTGGTCTTCCGCACGGGGTACTCAACACGACAGTCATGGGCGGCGCAGCGCTAGGATTCCAAGGGCCGAGTGTCTGTGTTTGTCTGTTGTACATACAACGAATATAACAAATCTTCGTGGCCAATCACATCGCCGTGCGCGCGCGCGGCTTGTGGGCCAATCTTGCAGTTCTACGAGAGAGATGCCGAAGACACGAGTCGAAGAGATCTCTCGTACGAAACCAATCGCAAGCTAGATCGAAGAGCAAGAAGTCCTGAATGGTCATCCGACGCCAGTCTGGTCGGAGCAGTATGCGGTCGTCGAGGGCGAAGACGTCGAGGGAGTAGACGCCGGTCCGAGGGCTTGGTTATCCTTGCTATCCACCTCGACAGCCTGCGCCTCTTCCAGACCACACTGTGCCGGGTGTTCTTTCTTATCAGCATGACGCTGGTAGTGGTTGAGGTAGCCAATAGTCCAAGTCACACGCAATGTTCCTTCAGCGACCCTCCTGGGTACATTGACATGCGTCTGGAGTCCGAAACGTGGGTGCGAAGCAGGTGCTATACTGCGAGCACCGCGGGAACGGTATTCAAGCTTGGAGGCACGGAGAATGAAGCTTAAAACTCCATCGGTCCGAGTCTCTGCTTTGCTTCTTCCCCACTGACAGAGCGGTTCTACGTGATTGGACGTGTGCAAAACCAATGGCAACGCGTGAATACCATCGCTCATGAAGTCGAGCCAACCGCAAGACGAGCATTCCATATATAGGGAAGATGGAGGCACACAGCTGACCACACCCTACTCCTGTCGTCGGTACACCTGATGAGTATAAAGGCAGCCCTGGTATGCTCTACTGTTCCCCAGTCCTCGACTACACAATCCACTCAAACATCATGTCTGTGAGTGACTGACACCTCTCGTCGACCAGACCGACGTCGAGCTGACACTGATTGTCGCAGGACACAGTCAAGTGCGCTAACGTCCAGGCCAACGGTGGCTCGTGCTCTTACCCGGCGTGCAACTGCGCTGAGCCGCCCAAGAGCAAGTAGGCCGCGAGCTGCAGGATGGGACTGGAGGTACGTACATTGGCTTCTTCTCTGATCGTGGCGAGGCTGACACCTGTTCTCCCATCAGACACATACACGAGGAGTCCCGTTTGTGCGCATTCATGACTTGCTGTGATGTATTTTCGTATCGAATACATTCCTGCAATTATCTGAGGGTATGAACTGAACGCGTGTCCGTACATCTTTGAGCAAACCACTTCTACCTCCGTCACGCGGTTGAATTCGCAGTCAAGAACCCATTACTCTGAGACGAACACACAGTTAAGGGTGCATCCGAGATTGAACTTCACAGATTTGAATTCACGTATGCTATTTTGCAGCCGCGGTGTCTGTCAGTGACGCGTAGACATATGGAGTAGATATGAACAAATTTCGGGGGTATAGACACGAGCGTGGCCTCGACATCCCCGTTGAATGTACATTTAAATGCCACAACTTCAGTCTAGCTCCCTCTGTCATCCTGCACGGTAGACCTCTACATTGAACCTTCAGATTCGAGACCAACCGAAAGACCGCCGTATTTCTATTATGCATTGGCTGTCACTTTCATGGTCCCTATGTGACCTGGAGAGAAGCGGCGATGTGCGCCAAAAATACAGAGAGAAATATGTACATACGTTAGCATTGAGGATGCAGTGTATTCGTCGTCTGAGGACCCAGCCACATTCAGTGTCCCACACTGCATTCATACTATATATTACGCTGCGTTGTGTACCTGCGATAGGTATCGATAGGTAGCAGCAACATCATACAAAGAAGCCCCGAACGTCCCAGAACAGCGATCGATCCTCTCCGGCCGCTGCCACTCGCTCCGCAGTGAGACCAGCCACTCGTAAGAAGAGCGTCCCATCGAGCAACTCGATGCCGTCCAGGGATGGGCGTTCGCCACTCGTGAGCTCTGGGAAGTATCCTGCCGGGCGCTCACCGTACTGCGAAGCAAAGTGCGCTAGCGCCCTCTGCGTCTTGCACAGATGATCGTCCGTGTGCATGATCGACATCTGGATGAGCGGC